AAACAATCATAAAATCTTCCACTGCTTACATAATATACTTTCACATGTACCAAACTCTGAAGGCCATCTCAGGGATGTGGAACAATAAAAGCAGATCAAAGTGCAGCTTACCCTGATGCCTGAGGCAAAGGAGTATTTCTTTGAGTATCAGTTCCTCTTTAAATGTTATTAAATGTTTTCAGTTTCAAGTTCAAAGTCTTTTGATAGTTTGAGTCTGCCTCCCTTACAATAACAAAGGTTATAAAGGCTTAAAACTCTTTAGGTTGTTGCTAGCTTTCCTCCAGTATAATGTCCTTTTGCAGACCTTTAAATGCTGTGAATTGCACTAAATCAGGATGATGTTATCTTCAATTACCACTGTATCTTCCACTGCTATCATTTCACAAGGACAAACCGTGTATTTGAGAATATTTTAATCATAATTCAAATTGCACACTTTGTGCTGCAATTAGCATTTGCAGAAAGCCAGAGCTGATACTGCGCTCAAACATTTACACTTATTGATTAAATTGGGGTAGCACAAGCAAGCTGACTGAATACATATCCAACAGACAAAGTGCAACATGTATTTGAACTTTTGTTCTGCAGCATCTGATAAAAGTCCAATGATTGGTCCAATACTAGCTTTGTTTCAGTTTTTTTTACACATGGCTCTTTAGCCATAGAGCTTTAGCTAAACACAACTCTTCATTTATTAAAGTCTTTGTGTTGAACCAAAGCAGTCAGCTGAGCTGAGACACTGTGGATTTAGTATTGACACAGTCCCCTTACACTTACATATCAAGTCATCATATCAATTGTAATTAACTCAATTTTATATTTATATCTTAAATCTGAGCAGAATCCTTAAAGTATAGAACAAACATAAATAATGCAGTATAAAAAGACAATTGGCATCATAAAAGCTTTATTAAAGTGAAAAAACATAGAAGTTGTAATTCATTCTCAACAGGCGTTTTGAAGAGATGCTTAACCAAGGGTGTGAGAAGGGATAATTTCAGACTAGAGTACTGTGTTCTAGCTGTTCTGTACCTTTGTACAACACTTGGCAGCCTCTTTGTTCAATATTTTACTCACAAAACCACATTGTCCCCATTAATGCTGTTCTATTTCATTACCATTTTCCTCTTTATCTAGGACACACATAATCTTAGTTTTCTTTCAACCCTCCAAAAACACATTGATAGCATGCACATTAACAGAACAGAGGTTGAGGAAGAGCGAGAGAGAAACCAAGGTATAACAAGATGATGAAAGGGAAGATATTTGAGAGACTAAGAAGGAGAGAAAGTGAGAGTCATGGCAACTGTTGAAAGTGAAAAGAGTGTTTCTGTGCAAAGTACCTTCATTTGGTGATGAGGTGTTCTATTTGCATGAAAAGACCACAAACCCCTGCAGCAAAGGGTCACTATATCTGCATAAACAGTGTCTTATTCAGAACACTACAGTCCTCATTAGGGCTTTACTAAAGACACTTTTGGTTCGCTTGTGATTCGTTATTATCGTTTTTCAGTTGACCATAGTTGGATCATTTACTAGTGGCACATTCCCAAACACAACCATCCACCTAAAAATCCACTTTTAGCATGGCTAAATGATGTGTAGTGGCTTTGTGTTTGGAAGAGCTTGCTTAAACAACCACAATCAACATGATCTAGGGCTGTTGAAAGGACTACTTAACAAGTCTGTGAAATCCTGTTGAAGCGACTGGAACAATGATGGCGAAGTCAGGTGTCCTGTTTCATTGATAGTCAACAAAAGCTAGCTGAAGTAGAGGAGAGACTTTCAAGCTCAGGCTGAAGTTTCACTCAATTTATCTTTTGCATTTTTCCTCCTCTACATCACTTGCCATCTGTGTAAACTTGGCATCCATACAATAAAGACTGTTGGGATGGTGCCTGAAATGAAGCTCAATTGCTGAATATGTTTGTCACAACACTGGAAACAATAGATCCTTTGGTGAAAGAACTGACACAATAATCTGCCGCCAACAGCGCAGTTTTTTAATGTTTCTTAAATCCTTGTAGCCCACACATTATGCCTGCCTCAAAATGACTTCAGTGACATCTTCTGCCATTTCAATTTCGAAACACAGAGTGCTATAGCACCCTGGGGTGGAATATTTTGGATTAGTGTCTTTTCCTAAAACGTATATGTGACTTGTAGTATGCGCTGTTCAGTGATAATGGCGTACTACTGCACAGCGTGTGTTATGCAGCGAGGCTTTTTGAATGGACTTGGCTGCAGCCATTTGTCATAATTACAGTGATGCTTTGGCTCTGAACCATTCTTGCACCCATATACACAACAACACACACGCTTCATACTGGTCTATCTACTTATTCTGCTGTCCTATGAAATTGTATAGCCCAGGGTGTCTAATTATACTAATCGAATGCGTACCGCCTGACATTTATTCATACATTATTAATAGCAGAAACAATAGAATCTCTGATTGGATATACTGACTTCCTGACTTCTCATCTCCCCTCTCTCTCTCTCTCTCTCTCTCTCTCTCTCTCTCTCTTAATGTCTCTTACTTATCTCTCACTCCATCTCTCTCTCTCTCCCTCTCTCTACCCTGTGACCTCCTTTCTTCTCTCAATGACTCTTTACCCTTCACCTCCTGTAATTTGGCTTGTGGGTGTTGAGTAATTAGCATGCCGCCCACTTTTATACTGATGTCAGAGCAGGGAATTTGAGAAATGTCCCATAAAGATTATGTGTCCTGATAAGGTTATGTCCGGGACTCCATTAAAGAGATGGGCGACACAAAGGCTGTTGTATTCTTCAGGGAAAAGAGCGAGTGAATGAAAAGAGAGAGAACAACAGAAACTGAATCTGAGTAAGAAACTATGACTCCTTCGTTGCATTTCTAGGTATTCCTTCTCTGTTGAACTTTTTGCTTTCAATGAAATATTATATTTTACAGTTTAACTTGTGAATTTACACTATTTGGCCAATGTTGTTGAATCCATTTTATATGTTTACTTTTGGCCTTTGTCTGGGACTGTTTTTCATGGAGAAACAAGATCCCTTATTTCCAAGTCTCAGGGAATTCTGTAGGAGGGACGACACCTTTTTTAGGAAACATTTCTAAAAAAAAAGTTTCTTTCACAAATGTTAAAATGCCACCAAAAGCCTAAGATGGTTCAGTAGCATTTGTTGGTTTAAGTTAGCAAACTTTAGGTGTACAACTGACAGATATCTTTAAGCATTTATCATACTTTGGTGTACTGTTGTCTTGTTTTGACAGTATACAATGTTTCATATTTGTATCCCCACAATGTGTCCATTCCTCATATCAAAAGATATTTTGTTTTCAAAGTTTGATTCCAATTTTGTGGCAACTTTTAAGGGGTTAAAAGTTTCTGTTTTAACTTGATAATGAACCTGTGCAAAGAAAATGGCAAATAAAGAATTGGCTTAACCTGTTCGGCATTCAAGAACATTACCGGCTAACCCAAACCCCTACAGCACCTTACAGTATCTGAGGCCCAAACGTGACTGTCCTCTTCTGGCTGAATGGGAACAAATCTCTGAAGCCAGACAGACGATACTACGAAGTGAGGTTCTAGTGTTGGTAGTATTTATGATATTACACTCTTCACTATTACAGTTGTTATAATTGTTTTCAATTATGAAAAGTATAAATGTATCATATTTCATGTTTGAGTGCAGTAACTAAGTTACAATGCAGTACTTATTTTATTGCCTTTAAAACTAAAGAGTAATGTAGTTAAACAGAGACAGTCAAAGAGAAGTCAAGACTGAAACATTGAGGAGAGGTGCACAGTGTATACACCACACAATCAGCAGACTGTTTGTGTTACATTGTTTTACACCTTGTGCACTTGTGACCACAGTAAAATGCTGAGGAGTTTTGCATAGAGAAATACGACCTGAAGTATTCAAATCTGAGTTGTTGAAAGTGTGCATGAAATGTTTTGTTTGCGGCAGAGGGGATTGGAAGAGGTCTCCACTTGATTTTCAAAACAAATTACTCGACGTTGCATTCTGAATAACATTACAACCAGATGAAAGTGGAAGTAAAGGGGTTTAGTGAATTACAGTGTGAAATTTCTAGTAAAGAACAATCCCATGCTAGGGAATGTAAGCAGGAGGAAAAATTGAGAGATGATTATGGATGAGTCAGAGCTCAGGATAATAGCACCTTAAATCAAATTGTCCGTGTGATGCACACTGGATTCCACCACACTCACGCTACAGCAGTACATTTGCAGTGACCGAGTGCAGCGATAGCGGCCAGCCAGTCATGCCATCTGAGGTTTGTGGCTGAAGTCGATTGTATTCCTGAGAGCTTTTTCCTCTGCCAGGCAGAGTGCTTGATGCATTTTCAAGATGGATCATGTAGGGTAACTTAATTTGGGTATCATTTGTAATTTCCCATGAATCACGTCCAAGCTCTGTGCTTCTGTACTGCCCGATGAAAAATACAGATAGTTTAGCTCCGCCATCAGAGAGCTGCTGCGCACTGCTGGACAGCATTTCAGTAAAGTAACTACTTTGCTTCCTTTCTCATCACTTTCATATCCTAGATAATACTTGATGTCTCGAGTGTTAAGTATTTTGATCACTCTCTGCCTGTACAGATTAACCAGCTATAGCACACATTGCTCATTGTCTTGCCCAAAATTCTTCTCCTTCGCCTCTAATTTTCCCAGATTTGTCATAGACCGTGTGATGTTTCATGTGGTCATGTTGTTTTCTGCCTCATTCAGGTCTGACTGGACACTTGTCCATCAGTGAATGACCTAATCCTTCCTTCTGAATAGCTATTTATCTCCTCTTATATCAAAGTGAGGAGATAAAGATGTTGTGATAAAACGTAAAAGGGGCGTCATTCCAGAAACCACGGAGCAAGTTACTTACTTAGTGATTTAGTGTTTCAAGTTTCTATTTCATTTTATGTCTAAATTCTATGCCTCATTTTGAGGCCACTCATCCCCTTTTTCCCATCTTCTTTTAAATTTCCACAGACTCTGCCGTTCTGTTGCTATGGCAACCGTGGCCCCTCCCTCCTTCTTCCTCCTGCTTTTTTGTCTGCTCCAGACGACCAGCTCGGCTTTTCCAGAGGAGCTGGGACCCCTCAACTACATCCCCACAGAAGGTAATGGCCGCCTGACTTTTCTCGCCCTAAAGACTCTTGCTTCTCTACGTGTGGGGTCACGACCTGACAGGGAAAGTGTTGAATTGTGGGAGGTACATGGAGGAGGTTATAGGTCATGGTGTGGGGCTGTGGCAGTCAGACGTCTAAGGGTGTTGACTGGTGTCCAAGTCAGGAGGTGTGGGGTCGCACTCAGGAATGAGGAAGGGGCTTTCACATTCAGGACTTTCCCACACACACACACACACACACACACACACACACACACACACACACACACACACACACACACACACACACACACACACACACACACATACTGACCCTCAAGAGACACAGTGGCTTACACACTCAGACTTTGAGACTCCATATCAACCTGGCAGTCTCCAGCTCAGACCAGACGCTGATTGATTGCAGTTCGATAATATTGATTGATAGTTTCCCAGAGTCCAGACCCTTCTCAACGTATCGAAGCTCAACAGTGGAGTGTAGATGTAGATGAAAACGCAGGTTCATGTGGATGGACTGAAAAGAAAAGTAGAAAGAGAGGTGTTGGACAGTCAGAGAAAAATAAAGATTCTGCAAAAAACAGGAATGGAAATGCTAATGCAGAAAATTACAGGATGGAAATAAAGAAAAAGCATACAAAAAGATAGATGTGAATAAAAAGTAGAAAACAGATGAATGCACTTTAGGCTAGCATCAAAAGAAGTAATGATGGAAAGGCAGAGGTGGTTAAGAAAATGAAAGATGAAGAGCTCTCTCATATACCTCAGTCAAGGTCAAAGGCAGATATCCATGCTTGATTTACATAACAATCCATCTGTTTTATATAGAAATCTCATTTTTGTGTCTCTTTTCATTCATTTTTTTTTTTTTTTTTACTGTTTTTGCACATCTGGGGACAACATTAAAAAAACATACTGAATGGGTCCTCCACTTCTATCTTCCCCGTAAGGTCTCCATCCTCCTACAGAATTCCTCATACTCTGAAAATAATATGGTTTACCTTTTTGCTGTTCTTCAAATGTCACAAGTTTCCATTTGACTCACATTTTCTATTATCAGAATCGTGTGGCAGATGATGTCCATGTATTGCCAACATTTTGCAGTGACATATGAGGTTTAGCTCTGCCATCTTTCAGATTGTTTGTGCTCTGCTCTGTGCCCCTGTGCGCTGAATGTAACAGACATGGTTGTCTTTCAAATGCAGATCTCAAACTTTGTCTCCACAGGACCTTTAATGCCCGTCACAAAAAAAAAAAAAATGGATCTTGTCTACATTTTTCAAAGATAGCTGTCAGCTTGGGATCAGACATTGTGTGTTTTGTTTCACTGACAGTGGTGAGAAGACATGCAGTGTTTCTGGGCCGACCTCATCGAACATGGCTGAGACAAGAACCTCTACACATCCAGCGGGTCCTCCAAGTGAACCGAACACTCTACATAGGAGCTAGGTACAATCCTTGTCTGCACATACATTCATGATAATAAACGTACATATAAATGATTCCTTTGTGGCTCTATCTACAGGGACAATAAGCTTTCAGACTCTGGTGAAATGCCTTTGAATGCTTGCGTCACGCACATATACAAGTACAAATATAGCTCTGTCTGAGACATTTTCAGCTTTGATGTCTGTTGGATTGTCTGTTATCACTACATTTGTTGCCAGGCAACAAAATCAGACATTTTCATTGGGCTTTATTTTAGGAGTAACAGTGGGTGAGCCTCATACCTAAATGTACGCTGAAAACATCTACTACTGGAGAGGTAAAGGTGCAATGATGATTTTATGAATTATGAGGGGATTAAATACTAATATACGATACTAATACGAATATTTACTATATATATATATTGTAACACTTGGTCTGTGTTTTCAAAAAGCCTACTATTGACATGATAATGTGCTAAGATAAGCATACAACTCAAAGGAAAGCTGGATCAAAGTTCTTCTGAGAGTAGAGTATCAATTGTGTTCCTGTTTACAATAAAACAACAGCAAACAATAATCCTGACCCTTCTTCTCTCTTCAAGATGTTGTTCCAAAAAGTTTTATGTAGTTAACTGTACGCTACCAAAAACAAATGTAAAATAATATAAGGGAGAAGCTTGGTTTGCACCAGAAGACCAGAAGCTTTTGATGAAGTGACAACTTATGCGCCTGCTTGGAGAAGCTGGCAAACTTATCACACACATGCTAAATAACCATAAACATACTATCTCTAGTTCGTCCAAAAATGCTCTTCTCACAAGACTACTAACTTTCTGACTGTACTTAAGCTTCCAGTATAAAGGGACAAATTCATATAGTTTACCAAACTGTTGTCTCTTGAACAGATATGCTATGCTAATGCAGAGTGGGTTTATATGATGCAACACAAACTAAGCTACTATTTCTGACTCTGTTTTGGACTCTCTAGCGTCCCATTCGATGGATTTCTTTTGCCCTGAAAGCAAACCAACAGATGGAAGCTCTGTTAATCAGATGTATTGATCACTACAAAGACTCAGAAAAAAAATATGAATTTGCCGACAAATCTGTGACAGTGGCTCCATTCAAGGTTGATATTTGGCAAGAAAAATGTTTTCTAGTTGGTTGTCCATATGGAGATAGACCCCATATGTGTGTCAGTCTGGTGAATGTGCTGATGCTGACAGTAGCCCTGGTGGTCAGGAGAGCCAGACAAGGACAGCCTGCTCAGTTGAACCAAGTTTTTACACTTTAAACCTACATGTGCTGCTCCCCGGAGCCATCCAGGAGCCGACCGAAAGCAGACTGAACTAACAAAAAACACACACCTCAAGATTTACTGCCCCTCTTGTCAGAAAATAATTTAGCTTCAGACATGCTACAGCAATGAGACACAGTAGGCTCCCACATATGGTGATCGTTATTTGCTGTAGTGGCAGTCTGAAAGAAGACTGAAGTGGTTTTCAATAAGAGACGCCACTGTGGTCCAGGAAATGACCCAGTCCCTGGCCTCCAGCTGGTCTAACCTCTCTACTGAGACTTGGTAGTAAATATATCACGCTATGTAATATGGTTCCAGCCATTCTGTCTGTGCTGAGTGGGGTCTGTAAGCACACACATGATGTCTGATTGTAAAGCTGCCTACAGACAACTACTGTAGTCTACATGTCTGCTTTAAAATGTAGGCACAGTCATGAAACAGCTTGAGAGACGTTTATTTCAATTTGCAGCGGAAGAAATTCTCACTGAAAAGAGGTAAACTGATATAAATGTCTCCGCTAACGGCATGATAATGAAATTCTAGACTGACAGGCAGAAGGACGACAGAGGCGAGAGAGGTTGATGGCATCATGAGAGATTCAGAGAAAGAGCGTTTCTTGACTATATTTATATATTTCTTGTAAGTGGCTAATACTGTTTGCGGCTTCGTGACGGCAAATGATAGATCCATGTACGAGAGCTTGTGTGAGCCACTGACAGCCCGGCAGGGAGGCAGAGTTTTTAAATGTATGATGTATAAATAAGTACCTGTGAGGTGACAGGTTTGACTGCAGAAAGCTCCTGCAGAGTGCACGGCCTGATAAGACGCCTCACTCATCCCCAAATCCTGTCACCATTAGCATAGCTGCTCCTCAGACTGCAGGCGCTGCTAAATCCCTGCCCCGAGCACCCGCTGAGAGCAGCTACCTCTCCCTGTCCTCTTCCTATCCTTGCTAAATGGAAGTAAACCATGTTTTTGGATGGTGGCAGGTAGAGTAAAGCTCCTTGCTGTGTTAAGCCCCGTTTCATTGCTGTCAAGACGAGCATCAACAGATCCCGTGGTCTTCAGGCCTCAGTAACATCTAAAGGGCTAATACACACAAATATAAGTCAATTTGTGAGTGTTTACCGATTACGAAAGGGACCAAAGGAATAAATCCAATGCTCAATTAAGTTTTCCAATTGGGAAGAAGCATACAGAGTTTCTATCATTTGTATCTGTGTGTTTACCTTTTGCATCAGGTGTAAATGGAAAGTGTCTTTGTTTACTACCTGGTTTGAGGTAGCTCACAAACGCTGACCTCAGAGGTCACCAGGGGTCAATCAGCAGTCACAGGCAGGTCAAATGTCCGACAGCAGACAGACAGTAAGATGCCAAATTGTGGAAAAGGCTGGGAAGCTTGGGAGGTGAAGCTGCCAGGCTGATCAGCTGCAGTGTGAAGAGAGAAAGTTCAGCTTGCTGACTTGTCGTGTCTTTGTGTGTGTCTTTTATTTTGTGTGTGGTAGGTAATGGACGCACAAACACACAGTTGAAGACCAGCTTGGACACAGACACTTTTTCCAAGTATTATAAAAATGCTTTATAAGGATACTTGCTTTAAATGACACGCTAATGCAGTGATATAGTGTGAGTCTAACCTCATTGTTGGATTTACAAAAACTGGTTTCCAATACCCTAACGTGAATAAAAATAGAGAATGCAACATGTCAATAAAGTGGACTGAAGAGAAATTAAAAGACCAAACTGAGCTAATAAACTAAACTTAAAAAGGTACATACATATGTAATGGCTGCAACAAGTGTCTGCAAGCTATTCAGTTGTCAGCTGTCTGATAGGCCACGTCCTGTATTTAATATTTACGTATTAAGTTCAGGCCTGATAAGCCAATTCTTATCAGGTAACTAAGAAAAATAAATTGTAACAATGCAAGATCTTAAAACAAAAAGCACCATCTGTATAATCCTATTATAACTGTAAATATTAACTGTATATCTAACCTTTGTGCTATTGAATGATTTATCATTTAAATAATTCAGACTAAACAATGAGTCATAAATAAAAAAAAATAAACAGTAATAGTTCCTGAGGCTGCCTCATGTTTTAAGCAACCTCTCTCCTTACACATTATGTTAGATTATATATAGGACAAAAATTCCAAAAATTCCAATAACTCAAAATACGACACATAATGCATCCTTAATATGTGAGAATATTTCATTTGGATACAGATGTATTTATTGATGTATTTTATTAACTTTTAAAGGCAGGGTTTGTAATTTTCTCCAGATACACTTTTTAAGATTTTGGTTGAAATTGTCTTTAGGGCCTGACAGACATTAATAACTCACGTGCTCTGAAAAAGGAATAAAGAAAATCTGTCATCTGTAGCAGTTGTAAGCGTGTAAAAACTTTGACCAATGTCTGCCACGAGGTCCCAATCTGATGAACCAATCACGCCTCCCTGTCTCCCTGCTCGTTCTCTACCTCTTGCATGCACGAGCCCACGCTCAAAGCATGAGCTGAGGACCAATGGCGCTTGTGCATGTAAGAGAGGGGCGTGGCTTTTGAGGGAACACAAAGGGGAGGGGGTGGGTGCAGACGGAGCACTGAGGGAATGCTACTTTCAAAATCATGCTAGTTTTCCAAAATTACCAACCCTGCCTTCAAGATGTGTCTTTCCATGGTGTTTGTAACAAATGTTGGTGGCCTACTATGGAAGCGATTAGTGATCAAAATTCAAATGATAAAGCTAATTTGAAAATTCAAATGCATTAAGAGAAATTCTTTTTAATTTTCAGAATATGAGTGTATTATTTGACTCAAACATAAAATGATTAATTTATCTAATTTGAATTTTAGTTTTCAACTTTCAAAAATGCACATTCTTTGACTACATTAAAATGAGGAAGAAAATGACATTTGCTTTATCATTTTCAAAAAATGCCCCGCTAAATCTGTATCATAATTCAAATGAAAAAGTTGATTTTAAAATGAAAATACAGTAACAGAAACATGTTTTAATTTTCAGAATATAGGTGCATTACTATATTTAAAATGAATATTCAGTCATCCAGTTTGCATTATACTTTTACTATCTGTGTATGCATATTGTATGACATAATTCAAATGAAAACTAAAAGGTCTTTCGCTTTTCGTTTTCAAACTTGCCGTGCTAAAAAGTGATCATAATTCAAACCAACTCGAAAACGAAATGGCAAAGTGGACGACGCAGAAAAGTGACGTCAGACTCCAGCTCCCAGGCAGGCGAGCGTAATATTTACAGTCTATGAGGCGAGCGGGCAGAACGTGCAGTACGATGGGTAGCGGGGTGAATCTTTAACACTGGTACAAGCTCCAAACTAGTTGTTGCCCTGATTTTGATTCAGTTTTGGCGTTGTAGTTGATTATTCTTTTAATAACTACAAAACAACCTCTGAAAAGGAGAGAGAGCTCATACAGTCGGTCGAGAGGGAGAGTGTGTGCCTTTACGCACAGAGGATGAGAGACACTTTGTGTACAGAGCTGGAGAGATTATTTAAAACAGAAAATTCAATCGATAATCTTTTTTAATGTAATTAAGTTAAGCAGAGAAGAGAGTGATCTATAATCTATCAATAAACCGGTCTTAGGACACGTCTGTGTGAATTTCACGGCATATGTTTAATTGAGTGACTCTCATGGTCAGAGATAGTGGGCTTAAAGGTCTTTGAATAACAAGTTGCTGTTTCAATAAACTTAGTCTGCAGTGCAGGATTTTACCAAGCCAACCTTTAAATTTGGGTAACATTTTAGACTATAGTTTTGGACCAGGCTGCTTACTCAGGCACATATTTAGACCATCCTGGTACATTGAAAGTCGCTCCTAGCCATGCCTCAGTACTCTGCCTCAGTCAGCAGAAGGATCAGGATATCTCAGTGGTCAGCCCAAATCTTTCCATTTCAATTTCATCCAGTAGAGCAGCTTGTCCTTGTACATTTGCAGGCTCAGGAAGGCTCAGTCCTGCTCACACTGAACCACAATATGACTGCAAGCAGGGAGAAGAGTTGGGACTGAACAGCAAATGCAGGAAACTTGGCAGCGTGAGATGTCTGGACCCTGATGCGGCTGTTGTTTGATGGGCCCAAAGGAGGAAGTTCATCAGCTGGTCAAGTCAGAAAATAAGGATATGTTGACAGTTTTTGTTGAATCTTGTTGCTTTTGTATTAGTCAGGTCAAAAAGGGTCAGAGGGGTCAATGAAATTACAGTTTAGGAATGCGCACAAGGCCAGATAAAGAAATAGACTTTTGATTTGTAGGTGTAAGGAGTGAACCCCTTAACCCTAAGCTGAGTTGAGGTGCCTTTGTAATTTATGACCTAGTGAGTCAAGGAATTTCCAGGCATTCTGTTACAGAAAGAATAACGACATCTTTACATACATGTTACCGTGTTAATCCTAACCTTCAACCACATGCAGTCCACTTTAAATCCACAACCGAGCACATGTGCAAATAAAAAACATACAAGCCTTAGGTTTCGCATCACTCAAACATCCTGTAAGGCAAGAGAAGGGCTGGAGCAACACAAGCAGCTGCATAAATCATTCCCCCTCCTCTGCACTATCAGAAGCAACAGTCCTGGATGGGAGCCACTCTGACTAGAAGGCTCGGTGCTATATTCATTATGTTAATGCTGAGAACAACACTGGAGCATCATGGATGAGATTACGCCTCACACTCAGGCCCACTCCACTGTTTGGAGGATGCTTAAACTCTGACCTATTAAGCAGGGACACAGTGTGCAAGTGTTTAGTGATTTTGCACTTCTTTGCCTGTTAGTCTTTTTCCTGTTTAACGAGGTTGACCAAAGTGGGGCTCTTTTAACACGCCAAAAGGAAAGAGGATTAATTATTCAGTGGAGTAACCTGATGGCCTACCGGTGCTCTCATCATATACACATTTTCACACGTCTTTGTTTCAGGAAAAAAAAAACAAGATGCAAACACACATTGATACACTCACTCAGGCTCTTGTACATGGATGCAGAATTGATGGAACTAGCAGAACATGCAGTATAGATGGGAGGCAGAGCCGGATCAGAGATGGGATCGATACTACTGCAATAACACAGCTATGGCAGATTTACAGATTAGTCCACTCAAAGCCTCGTCCCCTGCGTAGAAAATCCAGATCCATCCCGGCTGATACAGAGGCCTTGATCAATATGCAAACGTCAGCTTTTAGCTGCCTAGCTCAACTCTCATTTCGTTAGCATTTTCACAGCCACATCCAAGGTTACTGCAGAATTATCAGCAAATTAAGAGTGTGAGAAAGCAGTGTGTGTATCATGAATACATGCATGCCGTTTCAGACCTCATGTGGGCACAACGTGGGGGTGTGCAAGCATCAGTGTAACTACTTGATTAAGTCATCCATTAATTCAATTTCACTCTTTTGAATAAGAACGATAAGCTGAATTCTGGGCTGTGGAGTAAATTCGATGCAGCGAGTCAAGTTTAATGAGCGGAGACGAAGGGGAAATATGAGACAGCATTATGCAGTCGGGTACCATTTCTCATATATATACTTGGAGAAAGGGATGATATTGTAAAGCTGTTCCCTTATCTCTGAGGGTCTGATCAGCCTCAAATGAGTAGATTCCTCTAATATGTATGCATTACATAGCTGCATGTTCAGAATTATTTAGTAGTTAAACCCCACAGAGTCAATACAAAGTGGTAACATTCATACTCCAAGTTTGAATTGAATGTGTGGCCTGGATTTCATCCAAAAGAAGAATTGCAATAGACACGCACTGTTCTGAGCTAGCAATATTTGATCTGCTGTGTAACTGGTATACATGGTTTGTTTAGTGCTTTCTCAAGCATCGGATGAATGCTCTTACTGCTCTTACCGTATGTCTCTCTCTCTCTCTCTCAGGGACGACCTTTTCCGTGTGGAGTTGGACATCGTAGCAGGAGATGAGATGTTCTACAGCAAGGTGAGCGCCTTTCAGACTGACCACTAAATCATCAAATTCACCCTTTAGCTGCACATATTAAATGTCAGCAGGCTGAAAATTGTAATTTTGTACTCCAGAGGAATGCAAATGTAGCTAAGCAGCTGTATACATGTGTTTTTCGTGTACAGAAGAGAACGTGGGAGTCCAACAAGAATGACATCAGGATCTGCAGGATGAAGGGCAAGCATGAGGTGAGACCAAGTGTCTGTTTCTTTATCTTCTCTTTCTTTTTTAAGAACTGACATATTTTCTGTCTCTTTCTTTGGCTCTTGCATAAAAGTACATTCTTGAATAATTTGCTCTTGAAATTAGGTTAATTTTTTGGCAACAAGGGGGAAGTTAAACTACATTGGAATACTACATTGACATTATACCTAAAAGATCCATAAACCTAAAAACTCCACCTTCTCCTCAAGTCATTTTTTTATTCTTAAGGTCCTAGATTCTCAACTACAGAAACAGCAAGACTTTAACCTAGCCATTATGCAGGTAGAAAGGCTGTGTACAGTAAACCATTTTAAGTTTTTTTACTTCAATAACCGCATTTAGGCACTGAGATTAAACCTCCTGCAAGGAACTTTCAGTCTGTGTTTTTTTTTGTGTGCAGCCTGTGGACAGGGGACAAGCAGGGCATGTTATCTCTTTGCATAGTTTGTATTTGTCCTATATCTGTTTAAGTAGTTTTTTCTGACAATCTCAAAGTATTTGTCATTGTTAATCATTGTAAACAAAAGCTGTTTTAGCAGCAGTCCTGCAGCAGCAACAACAGACATTTAAAATATTCAAAGAGAAGTAATCAGCCTTGTCGTTGATTGTCTCTTGTGCTTTTGTAGGTCATATAGAGACATCAGTATTATTTTCAGTTTGTTTCATGAACAACAAAATACTCCAAGCATGAGCTTTAAACAGCTTTACTTTACTGAGCAGTAAAACCACAAAAATGAGAGCAGAGGTGTCAAGAGATTTACTGCAACTGTTGTGATCAAATTAACTTGAGGTTTGTCCCTTTAAGCAAGTGAGACCAACAGTTACATTTCTTGATCTATTTCATATTTTAAAGCATATCTACCTTAAAAATTATTTTTGCAGTAATAAAACAGTCTTAAATCTCTGCTTTTTCAATTTATTTCAGCATTACATTTTCAATTTCTCTTTTTTTTCACTTTCTTACTGAATTTATTTTCAAAGTTTCTCTTCAGAGAAGTTTATGTGACAAGATTTTATGTACAAAGGCCAACATTTTTGTCATTTTTGTCTCAATCCATCAGCTTTACTTTAAGGCTTATGCACTTTTTCTCAAATATTTCAGGCAGATATTGTATACAGGTGAATAACAGTAGGACTGCATATGTTTCCCCGCCTGGAGCCTTGGTTTCATTGTGCCAGTCATCTGACTGTCATGCCTGCTGGCACAGCAAAACAAAGAGGGGGTGTTTGCCCATGTATTATCTCATTGTGCCAGCTCATCTAACCAATCGCAAAAACTCACACAGACATTGATCAGAAGAATACAGCCACTCCTCCCTTTACACCACTTGTCCCACCTTCATGAGATAGGAATGCAGTTTTTGCACTCAGAAAATGCAGGTGGGCGTTTGGAAGCCAAGACTGTAAGGAAGAGATGGGGTGAAACGTCCCAGCAGCCAGCGGCAGCCCACGCCTGAATACCTCCGATATCTCTAAGACACACATCCAGCTGCTGTCTGCCACACACAAACAGCACGTATTGAGTGTCTATGTGTGTGTGAGGGAATCATAGGTTCTGTCCCCTCAAGGCTGAGGGAAAAAAAAGACTTATTTAACACAGTGGGAGAACACCTGACATGAAATGTGTGTGAGACACTGCCAGACAGAAACACAATGGAGAATAGAGGGACAGCGACAATAAAGGTAGGCTGAGGGGAGGAGGAGGAGGCACAAAATGGTGTGAGAGTGAAGAGGAGGGAAGATGTATAAAGAAGAGGAGAAGTATGGGAAAGACAGGGCGGTTGAGGAGAGGAAATGAGAGGAGAGGACTGGAGGGGGGAGGAGAGGAGAAAGGGGGGAGTGGGCTGGTCCCTGTTGGCCGGCCCTGAGGAGGGCTGCGGGGCTGACAGAGATATGAAAGGTCTTCTTGCCCCTAATGACTGTGCTGCCTGGTGAGGCTGTGAGTCACACGGCAATGTGAGGGAGATAAGAACACTGCCAGGTCCTTTCAGTCAGCTCTCTGGGCTCAAATGAATGGATGTGCAGTGTGTGCAAATGCACAAACATATCAGCAAGTTTAGTCACACACACACACACACACACACACACACACACACACACACTACATTCACACACCCAGGCCACTATAGGGTACAACAAATATGGTTTTCTGAATGGCAATATTCAGTCCTTTTCTTTTTACAAAAATTTGACTTAAAAGACACTTATTTTCATTCCAGATGCTTGAGAAGCGAGAAAGCATTGGAACTGACATCTGGCATACATCCTGTAAAACAACACAAATAAACGCCTTAGAAATTAGAGCACAGTCATTTTGGAACACCTCCCTGAGACAGTATTAAAGGTCCCATGTTATGCTTTTTCTGGTTTTATATGCTCTTTTGTGTGTTTTCCAAGTGTCCTGTGCATGTTTAGGCACATCTATGTGCAAAAATTCAAAGTCCGCGGAAACGCGGCTTCTCCTACCTCCTCCTGTTAGCATTAGCTGCATGTAACGCTCGGTTCTAGCCCCCCTCGATAAAAATTGGTCAGTCCAACGTCATTGTCAGTGTGAGATCACTGATCTAAGTCCACTGGCTCGTTGTGGCAAGCCCTGCAGCTCATGTTGAAATTTCCGAGACGCGTGCTGAGCAACTGACCAATAACGACAGAGCGGATCAGCAGACCAATCAGAGCAGACTTGGCCCACGTGGGGTCTAACAGTGGGGGCTCAGCAGAGTGTAGCTGACGGACTCAGAGCGCAGAGGGAGCAAGGAGGAGCAGTTCATGAAAACAGACACTTTTTTTGGACTTTAGCTATTGTGAATGTACAAAAGTAGATACATAGATTAAACATATGAACCCCAAAAAGGGCTTAATATGGGCTCTTTAAGCAAAACTGCAATTTTACAAAATAACCTGTCCACATCCAAGCAAGATTCACTTTTAATCCATATTAACTCTTTCTTCAATACCCTTACTTTTGTTCATGAAACACATGTTTCCATAAACCTAGAACCTGATTTGAGTATGTTCATGAGATTAAAGATCAGGGGCCCACTAATTACAACATGACTCCATAGTACTGTTTGTCAGAAATACCACAGGGTGCCTTTAAGGTACATCAAGATAATGACACAGCAGTTACTCTGTTGTATGGTACAGTACATTCAATGGAAAACAGCCATTATCTCTACCACTCCTCCTGTTTGAGGTCACATGGTGCTGCAGCTGATCCCAGCTGTTAATGGGCAAGAGGTGGGGTACACACTGGACAGATCACAAGTCATTCACAAATAGAGACAAACATCCATTTAATCTCACAGTCACATCTACTTGCAATTAACAGTCAGCAATTAATCTATCAAGCATTTCATTGGACTGTGGGAGGAAGCCGGACTACCTGAAGAAAACATGCAAACTCCACTCAAAGAAAAGCCGTTAATAGAACAACGTGGGCTCATGTGTAACTCAGAAATTATATTTAAAACCTGATCACTATTGGCATCTAATGAAGCCTTCTGAATCAATATGTAAAGGTGCACATGATGACCATGTGGAATAATGAGTTGTTCATTTAAATGACAAACCTTGGGAACTATGGTCAGGAACTATATATCCCATGTACCCCTGCACCTTTCCTTTGTTCAAAAAGTATCTTTAGCTATGATCCTGTTATGAAAACCAAAATTATACATTTTATATCAATATTTCAATGGCATTGTCTGGCTACAGCTTTTGCCGCAGGGCTTTTGTTTATAAATGCAGCGGATAGCTCGAGTGTTATTTTTCTTACCTTTTGCTGTTGTTTTCATCATGTTGGATGTTGAGCTGAATGAATATTGCGCACATACACACAACGTGGAGGTTCTTTCATATATATATATACTGGAGGTGGAATTATCAACCCTCATATGCATTTCATTTAGTGTATGTTCATACATATTCATGTTTAAGGAGTGTTTTTATCTGCTTTGCTTTGCTCTCCCACACATACATGAACACAATTAAAGGTGAAAATCAGCACTAACACAACTGTCATGCAGTCATTTTATATTTGCCTCCAGCTCCCTCTCTCCCCTTCACTTCACCTCCTGGAAATGTTCTGTTCTGCTTGGGGAGCGGTTGTGTCAGATGTGACACATCCACCACCTCGTAATTGGTTTTGTAATTAAATGTTTCTGCCTGGTTGATCACAAAGGACATAGTATTCTCCCTAATTACGCTGAAAATTCAATATCCCAATTCTTTCCCCTTTTTCCTTCTCCTGTGTTGACTGAACGATTGTAGCTCAATGCAACAGTTGGCCTGGGTGTCACTCACCCTTCATATTCCTGTCCTATTCTCCTTTGCCTTTTGATTTCCCCTCGCTTTTTTTTTTTATCTCTCTTGTATTTGCCCTTTTCATCTTTCTTTGTCATTCCGTCCCCTTCCCTCCCTTTTCCTCATATGAAAACAAAGGGGAGCAGGAGATAAGAGGCTGAGATGCTCCCCTGAGGTGGCTCCATGCCAACACATCCGCCCATAGCAGTGTGGCATGAACATGCAAACAAAGGCAATTCCATATAGAGCGCTTTTAAAGAGCGGTTGGGCATCACTATAAGCAGCACTTAGTGAGATTGTTTGATCAATATTGCGTTGATCGTGCTCTCAGAGGAGCTCTGGGTTTTCAGGCGTCCAGCCTGAAGGCTTTATCTTGTTGGACGGGCAGAAGATTCAGTTTCAGAGACATTTTTTGGCTCATAAATCAATCACTTTTAAAACGCCACATGTGGAGTCACTTTCAGTTCTTGTACTCGAGGTCCTTTTGTTAATCTCACCAGCACTACATACCAGTTTGAATGGAGTTGTTTATTGTTTCATATTACTCCACATTGAAGTCTTTGCTATAGTTTGTAGATTTCTGTTCATATAAACAAATCTCCTCCACCACCAATAACACATAAAGGTTATATTCATATAAAATATAGTGAAGGATTACATGAAAAGGAAAAGTGAAATTACT